AAAACAAGATTAGCTGTACAGACTTTGGGGTCTCAACTTGCTCAACTACATTGTCAGACAGAAGGGGTTTGGTTTTAGTTAAATTTACTTAAATTTCTGACGTTTAAGCTTGGGGCTCTTGATTCTGTAGCCAACCCAGTGTAGAATGTAGACCCTCTTTTTACTTAAGATTTCACACAAACTGAACCTTGGAGGCCTCGATTTTGTACAGTTGAGTTCTTCTTGGGGGTCCTGATTCTATATAGAAAAAGACATGTTTTTTTCTCGGGGGTCCTGATTTTGTACTTACAAATCAGACACCTCAACCCTTTAGATGAATTCCCAAGAGGATATCATGATTTAATAACTATTTTCAGCCAACATGGCAACTGAAACCATACCACCAGCGACGCCAGGAGATGCCACCAGCCTCACCGACCAGATTCCTTGGCTCATCACATCGGACCTGCAGTTGGTCGTTTTGCTGACAGGGACTGAAGGGACCAAGGAGACCATGACCCTGGCTGAAGTGTTTTGTTGGATTACAAAGATACGAGGGGCAACCGAAGCAGTGATGCTGGACCACAATGTGTCCCCGCTGCTCAAGGAGAAGATCGACCAATTACTGATAAATTGTTTTAAGTGTTTTGGATGTTGATGGTCCCTTTAAGTTCTTTTTGGTCCTACTGATATTTCTGTCGCAGGAAGATGGCACCCCAAGACCTTTCCGGTACTCCGTTGAGCCCAAGAGCAAGGTGAACGTCTTCAAGCCGAAGAAGATGGAAGACAACCTCCTGGCGGTGCGATATTCGCAATTTGGAGCATGTTTCCAGGACTACCATACCTTGCCGACTGGACCGAATGTGTCCACCATTTGGGAGGTACTTCGAAATTCCAATGTGTCAAAATTTCAATCACGGTGTCAAACAGTGAATCCTTAACCCACATCATTTTTCAATCGTGATTTCAATCTTATTAAACGCAAACCCTGCAGGTCAAAATGACAGAAGGGGTACCAGCCGTCATTACCCCAGTGAAACCGAAGTTTTTCCTCACATGTGCTACCAGCATTGATGCCAAAACAGCAATCAAGCTGTCATGAGTGGGCAAAGAAGTCCATGAATTTTGGGGGGGCCCAGATTCGGTGCCTTAAGGATACCATGTCCTAAGTTTTGAACCAAATTCAACATAGTACTTCCAAAAAACAATCACAAATCCATCCATTGTGCTGTATGCTTTTGGACGGTAGCCTAGCAGGCAACCCTGGTGTGTTCTGGGCTTGCGGGCATCCATCGATCCTGAAGTGGAAAAGCCCTGGCGTGGACAAAAAATAAAAACACATGTCGTTGCAAACGAACGTCATTGACGTCTATTGACTTCAGTTGGACATGGCAGTGTGTCGACATGTGTCGTCATTATTTCACAATCTTTCACAAATCGTTGCCATTCCAAGGACTTTGTTTTTTTTTTCAACCTGCCTTAGCTTCGTTCAACAGTTTTGCCATGCCCCCTTTGGAGTCGGTGGATGCTTTAAGTGATGATGAGAAGATGAAAACCCCAAAGCGTCCTTCAGCTTTGCGGAATCCTACACCCAAAGCAAAGTCTCCTGAAACTGTTTCAGCTGAACCGAAGGCGAAACCCAAGAAAGAACCGAAGGCTAAGCCTCTCAAGCGTCCAGCGGCCTCAGCGACTTCGGCAGCATCACCTTTGAAACGGCCTGCAACTGCTGGCAAGGCTGGTGGGAAAGGTCGGCACAAGGATCCAGACCACATCAGCGTTTGCATTTCGAAATACAAGTCCAATGGAGTTTGGAGTGTGAAGCTTGCCCAAAAGGAGGTGATTCGTGTGACTTGACGGCTCTATTGATGGCAGTTGTTGTCCAACTTCATATCAAGATTTTTTCGGGGAACTTTGCAAAAATGATCACTAATTAAGGGTCCAAATCGGGTTCAACTTTGAGGTGAAGCCTCATCCTGATGTGGCGGCAACAGTGACCGAGGACATCGCTGCAACTTGGCCCTATTCTATTCAATATGATGTCATTGCAGGATGATTCAAAAAAAACTTCAATCCTGATATCCTCAGGATAATTTTGAATTTCTGCAAACCCCCCACTTGAGGCATCGAAATCAAAGACTCAAAACGCCAATGCTTCAGGTTGCTGTGAAAGCCGAGCTGATTCGAACCAAAGGATCAGTGTCAGCTGGCCAAGCTATCTATGCGGCTTGGCATTCCACTGACTAAACATGAAAACACAAATCAGCATGACTTCGAAAGGTGCCATTTTGATGTTCGCAGCTCATGCATGTTGGCCCCAAACCATGTTGGCTGACACCTCGAAAAAAAAAACATCAATTATTTCCACTGCAGGATCTTCAGATAGATAGATAGATAGATAGATAAATATAATTATATATATATAATTAAATATATATATAATTATATATATATTAGAGTATCAAATCGTGTGGCAATCCACAATTCATACTATATATAATCATTGGAAATCTTTCTCAACTGCATCAGCCCAGGAATCCATGAGACAGGCAGCCATCGACAAGGCCCAGTCTGAGAGCAAGGCTGATGACACCTTGCCGGATGAAGCAAATGAAAGCAAGGCTGATGAAGCTGAAGGTGAGATCGCTATGGGAGACCAAGAGTGTGAAGAGGAAGAAGAGATTGAGATCGACTTCAATTTGGAAGAGGAGTGAAACCGGGGGGTCCAATCTTCAAACAATCAACTTTCATCCAATCTTCAAACAAACAATCATTTATGAGATCTTAAAACCCAATGTCAATGTGAAGCAGTATTTTCAAGATCCCTGGGGTTGCTCTGCAGAACCCTTGATCGCGGCCTTCTCACTGAGTGCCAATTTTGCGAAGCGTGGCACCTGAGGCATCGGCTTTGGAGAAAAAAACGTTTGAGCCATTGGCCCACTTGGATCATTCCACTCAAATTTCAACTGTCATTTCTATCTTCATGAATCGAATTATGATCCAAAAAAGGCATTTTGACTCAAGGATTATAACCCAAAAAAGCTGTCGCACTGATCGTTGGAGTCATGGCGTTTCAACCGGACTCACTTGCAGCTGTTGCAAAGATGGGACCCTTGACTTATGTGTTTCAACTCAACTCATGTATACCGTTGCAACTTGGTTTCAATGAATGATTCAGTGAGCATTTTTGGTTTGAAAACCTTGCCTCTTCTCAATCTAAGGAGGGGTTCCGTGGCACAGCAGTGAGATCCCTGATGGATATGAATTTGAAATTGTAGGGGGGAACGAAACTACTACCCCCTACTGTGATGTCAACGCTTGCGGCGATGGTCGTATCCATGCTTTGTTGGTTTGGGTTTACCACTGGTTTGTAAACTACATACCAGGTGACGCAGTCGTGGTGAATGAGGAAACTGTCTATTTTGTTGCAAAAGCCACCATGACTGTTGACCCTTGGTCCGTTTGCTTAGAGTGTTTCTCCGTGTGGGAGCAAGAAAACCAAAAGATCACTTTCAAGCTCCGTGGCAAAGACAAAGCAGAGTGATCAGCTAGCGACAGCGAGGTGGGAAAAAAAGGTTCGATTAAACATCTCCAGCGTTTGGACTCAACATCGGATTCATTCGTTTGGGGCAAACTGAATCAACCGCGGTTGCCAAGGCCGTTTCGACCAACCCAACCCATCCCAATTGGCAGGCGCATTGGGAAAAATGCGTTTTACATTAAATGGTACATGGGCCTATGGGTGCTAAAAAATTGGCTTTCCAGAGCAATCCCTTCCTATAAGAAAACTTTGAACTTTAGTCTTGGAAAAAAAAATTGTCATTGTTATTCTTGTTGTTGGTGTTGTTGTTGTCGTTGTTGTTGTTGTTGCTGTTGTTGTTGTTGTGGTTGTTGTTGGTGTCGCTGTTGTGGTGGTGTTTGCTGTTTTTTTGCAAATTCCCAATTGGCCTGGGGTTCCCCACCCGGCAGGTGAAGACCATCGCCGCATTGCCCGTTGGCGAGCGGATGTTGGAATTGGTTTGGGGGTTCACCCCCCCTAGTATAGTATAGATATATATATATATATAATATAATATGTATATGTATATTATATATATACATCTATCTATATATATATATATATTTATCTATCTATCTATCTACCTACCTATCTATCTATCTATCTATCTATATCTTTATCTAAATATTTACATGTTATATACAGTGATTTATTCTCTTTAAATAAACAAATACATATGTACATATTAGCATACACACACAAACACACACGCGCGCCCAATTTTGTCTCTTTCGTTTTGTGAAAATTTCCCAAGCGGATACATGTTCCATGTTCCACAAAAGAAAAGGCCACAGTGGCCTCTAGTTTTGTTTAGATGGTGATGAATTTAGCACACTGGGGTAGTGCACTGTCTGCTGTGTGCTGAATGCTTGCTGTGGCAACATGATGCAAGTACAGCTGGCAGCGGAGCACAGCTCCCATCTTGGTACTGGAATATGCATTCACTCAAGACCCTAGATGCATAGCAAAGCCCTGGACACCAGGAATCAAATATATATATATATATTATATCTAATGTATAAATAATGTAGACACATGTTCTTATCATGTCTATGTTGTTGTAGTTTAAGAATGTCAGGAATCATTCCCAGTGAGCTCTTGCACATGTGCATATACTCTTCCTCTCCCAATGAAAGCTTGGATCCATGAACCATTCGGAGTTGCTGCGGGCGCTGTAGTCCGAGGCTTCTCTTGGATCTGGGTAAACTTCGGGTAGTTTCAGTATCTGCCTTCTTTCCATGAGGAATCATTATCGGACATGATGTACAAGCAGCATCGTCCCATGATTTACCAATATTCATCCCATTCATGGGTTATTCAAGCATTCTACCAAAATCATGGATGAATGAGATTTATCCAATATTTGATTCACCCAGTATCTCATTGGATTTTCCATTCATATTCATCCCATATGGATCTGATTTCTGCAGGGTATTCCAAGCATTCGGCCCTGGTTTCATCTGAGGACATGATCTCCTTCAACGGACACATCAGCCTGCATGGCAGGCCGGGTAACTTTGTGCTTTTGACGTTGTGCTTTATGCCGTTGGGGCCACCTGTTTTGGTGGAGATCACATGTGTATAATATTGTGTATATATATATTTAATATATATATATATATATGTATGCGAGTGAAAATGTATTTTCTAAAGATTTTCAACAGGGTTTAACTATATATTATGTTCCTTGTGTAAAATATACTCATTTAATTTTGTGTAGGCATACATCCCTCATATATCCATCCTAAGTCCCTGTTTTTCCCTGGCTATCAGACTTGATTCACTCAAAAGATCACCCATGTAAGTGGGCAGTGTTGACATATGGTGCTCGCGCCCCCCTCTCAGGTTGTCTCACTGGCATCACGCTTTGGATGTGCTAAAGGAGACGCGCTTCAGACGTTTGCAAAACAGCCAAATTACGTACAATGCCAGCATCAGTGCCTTGATCCTGAAAAAAAGAACCATGTTGTGGAGCATGGTGGGTGAATGTTAGAGTCCGTAGGTAGGTTTGATTCAGAGATATCAACCACTTCAGTTGGATTGGATTCAGGATTGAAGGACTGATGCAGACACATTTGGTTACTCGGTTTGTACCATCCACAGCTGGTCCCACTTGAACATCCCTCTATACGGCATCAATGCCAACAAAAAAATATTGTAATTATATATGATTGATATATATATATTTATATACAGTATATATAGATACAGTGTGTATATATATACAGTATGTATATACAGTATATTATATATATACATTATATATATATATACATTATATATATACACACGTTTTATATGTATATACTATATAAATAAATTATATTGTAAATATGCACTATATATATATGTACGATGTATATATGTACTATATATATATATATATGTGTGTACTATATATATAATTTATATATATATATATATGTATTATATATATATGTGTGCTATATATATATGTACTATATAGAGTATGTTTACTCTCTCTCTATATATATATTTACTATATATATTTACTACATATATACTATATATATATATATACTATATATATATACTATATATAATATATATAATATACACACTATATATATATATATACTTTATGTATATATACAGATATATATATATATATATTACAAACATATCCATTATAGTTTCTGTTTTGTACCAAAGGGGCCCAGATCCATGCGCCAAGGTGCACTGGAAAGAGGAAGTCGCTGGGAAAGCAACTGGACTGCAACCCGATCATGCCAGGGATCGAAAATCAAGCCAACAAGGTGAAGTTCCCTACAGAGCGAAGTTTACTTCGAACTTGGTGAACTAGGGTTTATGGGGAATAAAACTATAGTATACTATAAATATAGTTGATGTGTTTATAAACCAATGGGGCCACAGCGGCCACACCTTGAATCTAGATGAACTTGGCAATACTGGCATGGACAAGCCCCAGCTTCTAAGGTAGGCCGGTAGGCCCAGAAAAAAAAAAATGAATAGGTTCACCAACTAAGGATCCCAACCGCAAAAGCCTTCCACAGCCCCTCGTTCCCCAGCGTCCATACTCTCTTCTCTCTGCATTACTCCAAACACACGAAACCCTTATTTTGACGTTTGGGACTTTGGGCCTATTCATGTTGGGAACCCCTCTTGGTAGTATTTCATAGGGCCATGGGCATTTTTATGAACAGCGAAGGATGGATCCCTGCGTGACAGGTACCTTGCTATTGCTTGGTGATGCCAAAAGACGCTCACGCAGCTTGAATGAAGTGGCCGGTGGCTTGGCAGAAATGGGATCTTTGGAAATTTTCCAACACGGTCTGACCGGGGAACCTTGTTTTGGTTTTACTTTGTCTTGTGCTGCGGATAATTACTATAGATTCACCAAGTATTAGAAGCTGTATATTGTTTTCAGGCTATCTGTCTATCTATCCATCCATCCATCCATCTATCTATATATCTATCTTTCGATCTATCTATCTTTTGATCTATCCATCTGTCTATATAATCCATGCTATTTGTGTTCTAGTTCATCTACATATTGGATCGGTTCTATCACCTCCTCCGTCTCCTTGGCTGAGGCAATTCCGCTTTGGCCGCCTGCGTCTTGTTGGACGTGGGCAGGACGTGGGGATCGGGTGACCTACCAAGTTGTATGATGGATAGTTTTAAACATGGGTGTACCTTGACAATGAAGAGAACACCTTTGTATATAACTCGTTTAGTTACCTCAGACTGTTTGGATTCCTATCATCGAGTTTGCCACTTCTAACTGAAAACATTGCTCGTACCCAAACAATGAAACAAGTAGATAGTCACACATCCTGTAATTCGTATTGGTTGCCTCTCTCTCTCTCTCTCTTTGTGTGTGGAAATGGATCCTTTTGATGTACGAAGCACATGGGATGGTTTGTGTCGAAAGAAAATCTGCCAACTCAATGGTATAATGAAATGTCTTCTGAAGGTTCGGTAGACTAGTTCGGGAATTGCTGCATTCATTCTCATAACCCTAGCTCCCAGACTGTTGGGTTGGACCAAATTTTGTTGATTATATTATGAATATAGATTTTGTAGATATGTTAAAGATACGCTACCATGTTCATGTTGTTATTCATACGTGTAATGTACATCAAACACAACTCACAACTTTAGTCTTTCACCCTCAAGTTATGTTCTTCAATCCTGCAAGGTTGCTTCAGCGTGGTTCAACCATCATGTTTATTAGTAGAATCAGCAGGAACTGGCAGCTGCCATCAGGTGAGAGGTGCAGCAAGTGGTGCACAGCCGTGCAGTTCTTGAGTGGCTTCACAGGACGGTGCCGTGATTTCACCATGGGTCCAGGTTGGTTGGGGTATAAAATCATTACCATATGGTTATGACTAACATAGCCGTGGAAAATCACCATTTTTTACAGGTAAACCATGTATAAATGGGCCATCTATACCATGGCCATGTTAAACAACCAGAGGGTAAGCATCATTAAAATATGTGATATCCTCTGGTAAATGAACATAGGCCCTGAAAATAACATGTTTTTGTCATTGGAAACTAATCTTCCAGACCCTATCTGGCAGGGTCTATGTTATTTTACTGGAGGGTATATGTTATACCCATGGGATATAGAACCAATCATAATGGAAAGATTTAGTCTTGCATGTCTTTAAATAGACCCACTGGGGAATTGTCATCCACTAATAGGGATTCATATGGATTTTGACGGATGAATATGGATGGATGACCAATGTGTTTTGACAGAAGGGTGCTAGGGATCGAAAACCATACAGCCATACCCACACAACTGGGGTTCACCAACAAGGAAATGCGAGAAACAAAAACGATGAAATTGGGGATTTCTATCAATAAAGTGACCATATCATGAGATATCATGAGTAGTTGTGGATGAAACATTCAGATTTCAGCAACTAGACTTTGCTAACAAGAATTACAATTGAATATTTCGACCTCGCGAATCCGGTAGCTGGTAGCTTCATACAGGATATCCAGATACAAGTCAACACTTGATGAAATGCGGTGGATGAAGCCCAAAAGCGTATCCCTGGGATAGGTAGCATTCTGCCGCGCAACATAATCGGGACCTGTTTGACTTATGTTAGATTTCAGTAGGTAGCAAGTGGAACCACGATCTGAGTTTGCTTTTTGTGATTTTGGACATCAGCCAGTTGGTTAGTTTTAGTTGGTCATATGTTCCGTGATATCTATTCAAAAAAAAACAAGTGGACATCGAAACGTACGCAAAACCACAAATCTGAGCGGGAATTTGACGTTGACCGGTGGTGTTCTGCACCCAGACTGCCATAGACTTTGCAATGAGAAGCAACTCCGGGCTCAGGACGAGACGACTTGGTGGTCGATGTGCCGCTTAGCTCGCGGATGTCATATAGGTAAAGTAGGAGATCCAGGTTGGAAAGATCTGGTGGGTTACTGTCCGGTAGTCAAAGATGGCACTGGAAAATCCATGCAAAATGGACATGTAAATCATGTAAATCGAAAAATCAACCAAATGGTGGATTTTCGACTGCAATGTTTGATTACGGGACGGGTGAGCCTTTTCAAAATGCCGGGTTGACACCACCGAGGTGATTAGATACCTGACAGTTGTTGCCATGTTCTTGATATACTGATGTGGAGTTACAGTATGTTCCATACGTGCGTGCGTTCTCATGTCATATATATATATACACTATAGATTGTTCATGGTTCCTAGGACCCCAGCCAGTTTAATACCCCTCCTCGATTCTGGTTTTGAGGATCAGCTTCAACACTGCCATCAGTTGCTGTGAAAAGTCCAGTGCATGGGAAGCTGCGCTGGCGCTGCTGGCAGATGCTGAAAGCCGTAGGCTGGTGGATGTGATTACCTACAATGTTGCTGGGCTATTGAGGCACGGGCTATTGGACTTTGTCGGGCCCAGAAATCACAAGATATTTGTTGATCATGTCTAAAAAGCTTGGTGGAATAAGTTTCTGGTTGGTGGTTTGGAACATGAATTTTATTTTTCCATACATCCCAAGTGAATCATATATTTCAGAGGGGTAGGTATACCACCATTGATTCAGTTGCTGAATACTCCCGGGATGATGCCACTGGGAGACGCAAGGGGAAAAGTATGATACTTCTGTGTATACATGCCCATTCCCATGACTTATACGTACATATACGTGTATTTCTATATATATACATATATATATATATACATAATATTATCTAAATTATCAATATTTACATATATAATTATTATTATATCATATATATATAACATGTTGTGTTTAAAAAATGGGTAGACCCCATTGTTGAAAAGTTTTCCCAAAATCTTAAGAGTCAACGCTATTTTCTGAACCGGCAGATTGAGGTGGTTTTCTGATCTGTTTTAGCCGAACCCCAATATAACCCCGGTAGCTGTCAAGAAAATTCACATGACGGAATGATGGCCCTAGGGCCCGCTTGGTTCCCCCAAAAAATTGCCAAGGCAACCATCAGTGCATGCGAAAAGGCGAAGATGTGGCAACTGGCAATAGAGTTGCTGAAGGACACGCAGAGATCCATGAGACTTGGGATGAAGGGAAAGGTGAAGCACAGTGATCCAAACAGAATTGTCACTGATGTTTTCAACCATATGCCATAGTGTTAATAGTTATACAAGTCTTAAACATCGGTTCTTATTCACCGATATTACTTGTCTGTGTTTAATTTTGTTTTTGTTTGTTCAAACCTTGATGATCCCAGTTGAAGCCACTGAAACAAGCAAACCAGTTCTGTTTGGGAACTTTTCATTGCGGAACAAATATGTAGCGATCTTCATTGCCCAGATTTCTGCATGGATTATAACCACGCACTTCGATCTTCAGCCTGGAGACACGTCAACGCTACCACATTGTGCACATATCCCACTAGAATGTCCAAAAATTACCTTTCGGCAGGGGAACTACAAATCATCAAGTATGCAGCTATGTTGTTTACTGTTGTTTGTTTGTTTTTTGCCTATTGCCCAATTTGGCCACAAGTAGAGGTCAGATCCCCGAAGGATGAAGGTGCTGTGGTAGAACTGGGACTATGATTGCATGGGATCGGGATGAATTGGGAACTTCCATGGAATTACGCATACACAACGCCCCAAGTCCCCGGTTTGCAGTTTTTTGTCTTTCCCGTAGATGCCTGATAGAGGAATAACCTTTGGTTGATTGATTTCGGGGATCATGTGTCTGGTCAATTGAAAAGTCGCAGCGGCATCGCCTTGGATTCCAAGCCACGTTGAGCTTGACCATCTCTTGAAACTTGTCGAAGGTATCACGGTACAATTCAGGGTTCTATGTTGCTGATTTACCATAGATTGGATCCTCAGCTTATAGGCACACCATTTTCCAGAGCCTCGCGGCGATTCAGCCACTGGTGATCTTTTTGATAGTTGTTATGAAAGGGTCTCAAATCCGTTTTGTTTTCTGGGTATCTGTGTTTTCGCGTGCATCGTGTCGGCCATTTTTTCGGGATGTAGAACTGTTCCAACTAGAAAGAACATACATGATTTTGGCGGTTATTGCAACCTGGGACAAATTTCATCTTCACTGAACTTTTGGCTTCTCAAAAGAGAATCCCTGTAAATTCATGTGATATCAATCTAAGCCCGCAATGTGCTAAGGACACCAGATCTCATTAGCTACAACAGTGCCATCAGCGCCTGTGCCTTGGACTTGCTGGTGAAGGTTCCAAAATCCAGCGGCCATGGAATTGCTGGGATAGGTCGCCTCCAGACTTGTGCTTCTGATACATTCTGAGACCATATTTGAAGGGGTTGAAGCTCCATTGACAATCAAGGTCCTTGGGGTTTGGTCAGGTCGAGTGGAGTCCCCTTGCAGTTGGTTGCTGGCACTTGCTTTGATGGCTGAAGCCCAAAGGAAGCGGCTTCGTTGGGTAGCTTGAATCAAACGGGGGCAGCTTGGATGACGGGGGTCCAGCGTTATTTGTGTTTGATGATCATTCCACCACTTGCGGCACGGATTAGTCTAGATGATGAATATATCCCCGATTGTTTCACATTTGGCAGTTTCAACCGAGGACATCATTACCTACAGTGCTTGGGCGAGTCAGATCCTGGTGGGCGAACTTCATTCCAGAGTCAGATTCGGGTCATTGGGGGGTCCTAAAATTTTATGAAATTAGGGGCACACCAAAAACACTCAAAAACAGAACGATTTCCCCCTGTGAAAAACATATTCATAATATATATATATATATATATATAGTAATATATGTTTTTAGAAATGCACAGAGTCATCCCAAGCGGCTTCTGAGTGCGGCGTGGTCGATCTACCCGTGCACTGCATGGTTTAAGTGATAAAATCAATTTCAAAGGGTTACTTGGCAATCACCCATTTAAATTCCTGCGAGAACTATTGTTATCTCGAAGTCAAAGATGTTATGCGAGTCCAAGTGATCATCAACAAATGATCAGTCTGATAACTTTCTTTAATTAATGTTCTTGTTTTTAATCTATGGCATTTCTTTTTTTCACACCAATAGAAATTGTGACTGTGAATCCCACTGGCTGTTTTTAAGTGGGAGCAAACACAATCGACGAAAGACCGACCTGTTGATGCATCACCCATAAATTCAAGTATATAGTAGGCAACCAGTTAACCAAGTTCCATTCTTGCTGAACCCTACCGCGGTGACTGTAAACAACAGCTATCATTTACTTCGCTGAAAATGACACGCCTTGAGATACATCGATAAATCTGGTCATGGGAATGTTTTTTGGTATGCGTGCCAATACCAATGAATGTCAAAACTCACAGGTTCAACATGTTTCAAACCGAGCTTAATTTTAAACTGCTTCATTGCGAGGCTCAGCCGTTGGTGTTTGTGAAAAATCCTCGCAGTGGAAAGCGGCGCGACTTCTTTTGTCACTCAGTCGCAAACCTGAAGTGTGTGACTGGATATGGACTTTTATATCAATTTTCACCAACAATCTTGCCAAGTACCTTGACTATAACACAATATATCGGTGCATAAGCCAACAATATTGGGAGTCAAATAACGTCAACACTTCCTATGGTTTGCACGTATTGCAATAGATTGTGAATGATTTTGAAGTAGAAGAAATGGATTGAAATGGGTGTCCTTTGGAGCTGAGGGTTTTGTTCACCGTTTTTGCCGGGCAATGTTCGAATGTTTGGTCGCTTAGCAGCTACTCTTAAAAGAAAAAGAAACATAGGCTATTGAACTCGGCAAGTACTTTCTGCTTTGTTTTGTGCACCTTAAGTAGTATACGAGTTGTAGTCATTTAGTTGCTGTTTGAATTGGCCAACATAAATACGACTGCCGAGATTGGTTTATATAATCACGAAGAAATTGATTTGTAAGCATCAAAGATTATATAACTGGTCATGAACACTGGCAGCCAGATCAGAATTAAATGTTGGTTGCTTATTCGAACAGGACAACTATAGTTGTACCATGTTATACCAGGGGCTATCCGCTCCGGGAACAGGGGCCCCCAACTGGATTCCTTTTGTTTGGCACTGCAACGTATCATTGAGATATGGTCTACATTTCACTCATACATCAGCTTGCGAGTGCGAAAAAACCTGGCTGATTGGTGGTTTGGAACATGTTTCATTTTTCCATATTTTGGGAACAGTAACCCCAACTGACTAATATTTTTCAGAGGGGTAGGTATACCACCAACCAGCTGGCTACTGTGGATCAAACAAACACAACAATCAGTGGCGGCCGCGGAAGACCATCTCCAGGCAAGATACTTCGCAGCAGCGCAGCATGAACGTCATTGTCTTGAACGCAGCGTTGTGCCCCGCCTCACTGTGTGAGTAATGCACGGTTTGTTCCGGGTTGAGGCCAAGGGATTTGAGGAACTATACCTAGGAACTCCAAAAGGACATAATTTCAGCCTGAGGAGGAAAAACAAACTTTTGGGGTCTCAGACTGAAATTTCGGTCTGAGGGTGATCTCAGGCTATTTTCTGATTTTCAGGCTGATTTGTTTGAATCTCAACCTGATTTTGGTAAGAAATCAGGTTCAAACCAGGGAAGAACTCAAGAACTACTTGGTCATCCCGATGCTTACCGTATCCTGTTCTCGTCCTGTAGAATTAGATCAAACAATAAGCTCAATAATTTTACAATTTAAGAATCCAGAAAGTTACCAGACTATGGCACGCTTGATGTGTATTGGTGGTAAAAGACATATTTTGCAAACTTTGCACAGGTTCATGACGCATCTTGTTTCCACTATATTGGTTTTGGGACTCTGCGATTTTAAGCTTGATTTGGAACTGCAAACCTGAATTTATGAAAAAATCGGGTTGAATTTGGTCAAGGACCAAACAAAAACATGAAAAACTCGGGCAAAAAATCACACTAATCGGGCAAAAAATCGCACTAATCGGGCAAAAAATGCCGCAACTCAAAATGTTCAGATTTTTCATGTTTTTTTGCAGTTCAAATCCTGATCTTATGTTTTTTTTTGTGAAATTCAAACCATGCTTGAATTAAATAATATACCTATCACCATGTCACAGAATAATTTTTGAATACGAAGTTATAGTTTGGATGGAAACCAGTCAGATTTATTCACTTACCACTTAACCGGGCTGCTGCTTTGTGCTTCTGACATTGCTGATTTGTAGGAAGGTTGCATGATATTATGGTACAGTATGGTACAGTTTCTTCTAGGATTTCTCAAATTATGCACCGCCTTATCCATGCCATTCAATATGTGACATTGATTTCAATACCGTTGCGCCAGCATTTTTTGCGCAAAGTGCCTCGGGCTATTTTTTTATCTCGGGCTAAAAAAAATGGTTCAGGCAAAATATTCAGCCTGAATGCATTCAGACCATTATTATGGCCTGAGGATTTCGTAGGTATATATCTATATACCGTTAAAAACAAAGTTAGAATGCGGTTTTGGCTTCGCGTGATGGTGGCCCGTTTGGCCCCCCCCCCCACGGCAGACGCATTCTAACTGAAGGAACACCTGTAAATATGCAGAAACACAGTTAGAATGCGGCGCCAAAATTGGTAAGAAAATGTAAGTTTTGACTGGTATTTTACAGGCGAAATACAGTTAGAATGCCTCCTCCTTTTCTTCTATATTGTTCCTTGCCCTTCCTTTTCTTCTATGTCTTTTTCATTGATCTATATCTGCTGTAGTTTCCGGGGAGGCATTCTATCTGTTGTTTTCCCCACTGTAGCCAGATGTTTCTGACCTGCAGGGAACCTGGAGTGCCCTTGTCTCTTTTCCAACCTTATCCTCTTCCCGTTTCTCCTCCTTTTCTTCTATATTGTTCCTTACCCTTCCTTTTCTTCTATGTCTTTTTCATTGATCTATATCTGCTGTAGTTTCCGGGGAGGCATTCTATCTGTGGTTTTCCCCACTGTAGCCATATGTTTCTGACCCGCAGAGAACCGGGAGTGCCCTTGTCTCTTTTCCGACCTTATCCTCTTCCCTTTTCTCCTCCTGTTCTTCTATATTGTTCCTTACCCTTCCTTTTCTTCTATGTCTTTTTCATTGATCTATATCTGCTGTAGTTTCCGGGGAGGCATTCTATCAGTTGTTTTCCCCACGGTAGCCATATGTTTCTGACCCGCAGGGAACCTGGAGTGCCCTTGTCTCTTTTCCGATCTTATCCTCTTCCCTTTTCTCCTCCTTTTCCTCTATATTGTTCCTTACCCTTCCCTTTCTTCTATGCCTTTTTCATTGACCCATATCTGCTGTAGTTTCCGGGGAGGCATTCTATCTGTTGTTTTCGCCACTGTAGCCATATGTTTTTGACCCGCAGGGAACCTGGAATGCCCTTGTCATGCCCTTGTCTCTTTTCCGACCTTATCCTCTTCCCTTTTCTCGTCCTTTTCTTCTATATTGTTCCTTACCCTTGCTTTTCTTCTATGTCTTTTTCATTGATCTATATCTGCTGTAGTTTTCCGGGGAGGCATTCTAGTCTATCCGTTGTTTTCCGCACTGTAGCCATATGTTTCTGACCCGCAGGGAACCTGGAGTGCCCTTGTCTCTTTTCCGATCTTATCCTCTTCCCTTTTCTCCTCCTTTTCTTCTATATTGTTACTTACCCTTCCTTTTCTTATGTCTTTTTCATTGATCTATATCTGCTGTAGTTTCCGGGGAGGCATTCTATCTGTTGTTTTCCCCACTGTAGCCAAATGTTTCTGACCCGCAGGGAACCTGGAGTGCCCTTGTCTCTTTTCCGACCTTATCCTCTTCCCTTTTCTCCTCCTTTTCTTCTATATTGTTCCTTGCCCTTCCTTTTCTTCTATGTCTTTTTCATTGATCTATATCTGCTGTAGTTTCCGGGGAGGCATTCTATCTGTTGTTTTCCCCACTGTAGCCATATGTTTCTGACCCGCAGGGAACCTGGAGTGCCCTTGTCTCTTTTCCGACCTTATCCTCTTCCCTTTTCTCCTCCTTTTCTTCTATATTGTTCCTTACCCTTCCTTCCCTTCCTTTTCTTCTATGTCTTTTTCATTGATCTATATCTGCTGTAGTTTCCGGGGAGGAATTCTATCTGCTGTTTTCCCCGCTGTAGCCATATGTTTCTGACCCACAGGGAACCTGGAGTGCCCTTGTCTCTTTTCCGACCTTATCCTCTTCCCCTCTATCCTCCTTTTCTTCTATATTGTTCCTTACCCTTCCTTTTCTTCTATGTCTTTTTCATTGATCTATATCTGCTGTAGTTTCCGGGGAGGCATTCTATCTGTTGTTTTCCGCACTGTAGCCACATGTTTCTGACCCGCAGGGAACCTGGAGTGCCCTTGTCTCTTTTCCGATCTTATCCTCTTCCCTTTTCTCCTCCCTTTCTCCTATATTGTTCCTTGCCCTTCCTTTTCTTCTATGTCTTTTTCATTGATCTATATCTGCTGTAGCCTTATCCTCTTCCCTTTTCTCCGCCTTTTCTTCTATATTGTTCCTTACCCTTCCTTTTTTCTTCTATGTCTTTTTCATTGATCTATATCTGCTGTAGTTTCCGGGGAGGCATTCTATCTGTTGTTTTCCCCACTGTAGCAATATGTTTCTGACCCGCAGGGAACCTGGAGTGCCCTTGTTTCTTTTCCGACCTTATCCTCTTCCCTTTTCTCCTCCTTTTCTTCTATATAATATTGTTCCTTGCCCTTCCTTCCCTTCCTTTTCTTCTATGTCTTTTCCATTGATCTATATCTGCTGTAGTTTCCGGGGAGGCATTCTATCTGTTGTTTTCCCCACTGTAGCTATATGTTTCTGACCCGCAGGGAACCTGGAGTGCCCTTGTCTCTTTTCCGACCTTATCCTCTTCCCTCTTCTCCTCCTTTTCTTCTATATTGTTCCTTACCCTTCCTTCCCTTCCTTTTCTTCTATGTCTTTTTCATTGATCTATATCTGCTGTAGTTCCCGGGGAGGCATTCTATCTGTTGTTTTCCCTGCTGTGGCCATATGTTTCTGACCCGCAGGGAACCTGGAGTGCCCTTGTCTCTTTTCCGACCTTATCCTCTTCCCTTTTCTCCTCTTCTTCTATATTGTTCCTTACCCTTCCCTTTCTTCTATGTTTTTTTCATTGATCTATATCTGCTGTAGTTTCCGGCGAGGCATTCTATCTGCTGTTTTCCCCACTGTAGCTATATGTTTCTGACCCGCAGGGAACCTGGAGTGCCCTTGTCTCTTTTTCGATCTTACCCTCTTCCCTTTTCTCCTCTTCTTCTGTATTGTTCCTTACCCTTCCTTTTCTTCTATGTCTTTTTCATTGATCTATATCTGCTGTAGTTCCCGGGGAGGCATTCTATCTGTTGTTTTCCCTGCTGTAGCCATATGTTTCTGACCCGCAGGGAACCTGGAGTGCCCTTGTCTCTTTTCCGACCTTATCCTCTTCCCTTTTCTCCGCCTTTTCTTCTATATTGTTCCTTACCCTTCCTTTTCTTCTATGTCTTTTTCATTGATCTATATCTGCTGTAGTTTCCGGGGAGGCATTCTATCTGTCGTTTTCTCACTGTAGCCATATGTTTCTGACCCGCAGGGAACCTGGAGTGCCCTTCTCTTTTCCGATCTTATCCTTTTCCCTTTTCTCCTCCTTTTCTTCTATATTGTTTCTTACCCTTCCTTTTCTTCTAGGTCTTTTTCATTGATCTATATCTGCTGTAGTTTCCGGGGAGGCATTCTATCTGTTGTTTTCCCCACTGTAGCCATATGTTTCTGACCCGCAGGGAACCTGGAGTGCCCTTGTCTCTTTTCCGACCTTATCCTTTTCCCTTTTCTCCTCCTTTTCTTTTATTATGTTATATATTGTTCCTTACCCTTCCTTTTCTTCTATGTATTTTTCATTGATCTATATCTGCTGTAGTTTCCGGGGAGGAATTCTATCTGTTGTTTTCCCTGCTGTAGCCATATGTTTCTGACCCGCAGGGAACCTGGAGTGCCCTTGTCTCTTTTCCGATCTTATCCTCTTCCCTTTTCTCCTCCTTTTCTTCTATGTTGTTCCTTACCCTTCCTTTTCTTCTATGTCTTTTTCATTGATCTAAATCTGCTGTTGTTTCCGGGGAGGCTTTCTATCTGTTGTTTTCCGCACTGTAGCCACATGTTTCTGACCCGCAGGGAACCTGGAGTGCCCTTGTCTCTTTTCCGATCGTATCCTCTTCCCTTTTCTCCTCCTTTTCTTCTTTATTGTTCCTTACCCTTCCTTTTCTTCTATGTCTTTCTCATTGATCTATATCTGGTGTAGTTTCCGGGGAGGCATTCTATCTGTTGTTTTCCCCACTGTAACCATATGTTTCTGACCCGCAGGGAACCTGGAGTGCCCTTGTCTCTT